GAACTTCGGAAACCTTTTTCGGTTTACGAGTTTGTTACTATCGTAAACGTTTTAAGGGTTTCCGAGCTTTCGGAAACCGATAAAAGGGTTCTCGAGGGCAAGAAATGGGTTTCCGAACACTCGGAAACCTTTCTCCCTTGGTTTCCGGGAATACTGTTTTTTTTAGAGAGTAGTTGTTTTACATGCATCACAAAATGGGCATCGTTTTGTTACAGCTAACGCAAATATTAAGCAACTCCTATATTTCATGAAAAAAGAAAAATATTGATTGAAACAAAGGTGTTTTAATCCAAGGACAATCCGTCAGCACTTAGCATGAACGAATTTTTTCAAAGTTTCCGCATACGTCGCATGATAAGCTGGCAGAAAAGTGTCGAACACTGAGTATTTGGGTAAACACCTACTTTTTGCTTCATGATGCCCATCGAAAAAATCATCATTCGACAGAGAATCAAATTCTGTGTCCATCACTTTTAACCATAGGGACAGCATATATTCAGGAGTGACTGCTAGGAAGAAACATTTAAATCAGCTACCAATTTTAGTTAGCTATTTGAACAAAGAAAAATTTAATAATACCACTGGGCAGAGTTCGTGAAGCTGTACTTGGACAACAACAGAAAACTGCTCCAAGGCTTCTAGAAGAGTCGCTGTTATATTTATCATAGTAGCTCAAAAACTCTTATACTGATCTACCAGTATTTTGAAGTTTTCGAAAACATAGATTGGATTATTAGAAATCTAATTATACTCTTGGATAGAGCTAGTCAAGTTGTACTTGGAACACTAATTATGAGCTCTAGAACAGGCTCTTGGATGAATCACCAGTGAAATTATTCGAATCCGCTACTAACTTCACCAATACCTCCGGACAAAAGTTTCTTTCTCCTCTTTCTTATTATGCTATCATACTTCACGCACAATCAAATTTATTACGAAATAAAGATATGACATAAGAGTTTTATTTCAGTATGATCTGTATATCACATTGCAATAAAACTCTTATATCATACCATTACTCGATAATAAATTTGATGTGAAGTACGATAGTATAATAAGTAAGAGGAGAACAAGACTTTTGTCCAAGGGTGTATATTTTTTAAAGTCATTAAAGTCACGAAAATCATTTTAAGTCAATTAAATAAAAAAACTCATTAAAGTCACACAAAGTCCGCCGTTTTCCCCTTGGTAATGATTCACTCTCTCATCATCCAAAATGTCAGCATCATTCTTTTTCAAAGTCCAGAGATACAGCAACTTTAGGAAGTGAGTGTGGGGTATTGGTGCGCGTGGGTGTGGATATGAATATTGATATCACCAACTCACAACCAACCAGACACTCCTCACATATCCACACTCACACCCGTTTCGGAATAAAAGTTAAAATGCGATTGTATGCGTTCAGCCTAAAAGAATGCGGCGAAAGTATAAATGCTCTCTAAATGTGTTCAAGAAACACAGTGCTCGACGGATCTAGATGGATTTTTGTCATACTTGCGATACGAAAACGAGTCAGGACGTCAAAGATTTGCAACATAAACGCGTCTAGCTGCATCTAAATTGTGTTTCATGGTTACATGACTAGTGGCATATTTCAGTCTCATCAGAAGTTCCATTGACACCACTTTTCCAAGAGTAGGTTTACGTAGTTACCTGTCTGCATGAAAATAAAACCAATTGATGAAGCTTACGAAGACAACTAAGTAATAATATTCGATTTGATAGATGTTGGGTGTGAATTTTGCTGTAGGATGCATGTATGTGGGGTGCCTGTGCAGACCTGGGTCTGGTCAGTGTGGGTGTGGGTTTGCAAAGGCAAGCGCTGTCACTCACGCCTACATCCTACACCCTCACTAGGTACATCATTTATTCCAACAGGCTGATCGTCTAAGTTGAGGTGAAGATCATCCTTAGAATATCGATGGTAGCATCAGATGAAACCTTAGACGAATTTTAATTTTTTTAAATATCAATATATTAAGTTCAACATGTTTAGAGACGACTTTATTCCTGGCCGCGTCTAATTGTGATTCTATTAGAAATATATTCAGCAGCGATCAGCTTTGAAAGCGCATCTCTTGCGAAACATTGTTTGCGTCTCGAGATATTTAATCTTTCAGTTTTTGACGCACATGAAACAAGATTCAGAACTCGCTTTCATGCAAAAACTACGTAGGGCAATCCAAAAGTAGTGTCGCCATCATCTTATTTCCGTGTAGAAAGCTTTAAGAAACTTTCTCTCTATGCAGTTGGATAGAGAAAAAAATACTCTGTTTTTCTATACTATTTGATCATACTTCAATTAATATCATAATAATAAACTTTCGATAAGATTTATTTCGTTATCAAATGTGCTGGTAGCACTCGTATCTATTTGATACTTTTGAATAACTATTGATGGAAACAAAATAGAGAGCTGAGGTTTTCATCGTTCGAAAGAAGAGATAAAGATGCATCGAATCATATATTATAAGTTTTCCTAATATATGGTCTGACGTTTGTTTAATCAGTTCTCTAAGTGTAGGAAAAATGGTTTCTTATCAAAAAGGAAACAGCAAAAACTTCTTTTATAGAAATTGCAGAAAAATCACTTAATACTTCGACTCGGATACCTATAACTTCTGAATAATTAATTCTAAACCTCTGAATCTTGTGCAGCTTTGCAGATCTTCCATCGGCGGTTTCAACACCTGACTATTGAGAATTCACTGTAAACATCTCACGAGTAGGCTTGTTTTCAAAGAGCTTGATTGAAAACCTTTAAAAAAGTCATGTCAAAAAATCTATAATGTATGAATCGGTGCATCTTCATCTCCTCTTTCAAACAATGAAAACCGCAGTTCTCGATCTTGTTTCTATCAAAAGTTATTCAAACAATATCCATTAAATAGACACTAGTGCTACCAGCACATTTGATAGCGAAGCAAATCTTATTGAAAGTTTATTATTATGATATTAGTTGAAGTATGATCAAATAGCATAGAAAAATAGAGCATTCTTTTCTCTATCCAACTGCATAGAGAGAAAGTTTCTTAAAGCTTTCTATACGGAAATAAGACGATGGCGACACTACTATTGGATTGCCCTAAGTATTTATAACGGTACTGATTGAGAGAAAGCTGCAAATTTTGTTGTTTGCAAACGTGTCCACAATTTCAAAGTCCATTTTTTTCTTTTAATTGCAGCCATTACTATGTTGTATATGAGCGTAGGTGTTTAGTATAAAAATTATTTGTATTTAATGATGTTATTCGCTACATTAACTAACTTTTCACTGACCCTCATAAAATATTGCGTTTGTCGAGAATTGCGCCAATCTTTTTTAACAGCAAGCAATATTGTCAACGATGAAGTGTAAGAGAATAAAAACAGAACATTTTTTTATGTTGTCATCTCCGTCGTCATAAAAAATGGAAGTGACTGCGAAATAAAAATCGCCCGAAGAACGAAAAAGAAATGAAGGAGAACAAGAAATAATTTGTCTTAATCTGTTTGATCAAAGCAGCACGGAACTTTCATAGAACAGCAATTGATCAAACAACCTTGCAAAAAATGGCTATGGCTCAAATAGATGAGAATATAAGCGATAACCTTGAAACGTTTAGTCTTTTCTGGGTTGATGCCAATGTTAACGAATGTGGCGAGAATCAAGATGCTCAACAGCAATTACGGAGGATCATCAATCATTTGAAGACATTTGAGAAAGGAGACGACTGTATTGAATATATCTGTCGACAAACACGCACAGAAGATCGCATAGTACTTATTGTGAGCGGTCGCTTAGGTCAAGAAGTAGTATCTGCTATTCACCATGTGCGTCAAGTGTCATCAATTTATGTTTATTGTCGAGACCGGAAAGGAAACGAGCAATGGGCAAAAAACTTCGTAAAGGTAAAATCACACGTTATCTAATATTAGCAGCATCACTATTTTCTTGTTAAAGGTCAAGGCTGTCACTGTTCGGCTTGATGAACTCATATCTGGTATTAAGTCTGATCAACAAACTCGCTCGAAATTAGAAGAATGTCTTTCTTTTACTACAAGTATTGGAGGCGATCAATCAACAACAGGACTCAACGGTCAGTTTGTTCATTCTCAAATTTTTATCGATGTTTTACTACGAATGAAACCTGATGAACAGGATCGAGTGGATCTAATATCTATGTGCAGGAAACAGTATCAGGGCAACTCGAGTCAACTCGCAATCGTGAAGGAATTCAAGAAGAATTATTCTCCATCTAAAGCATTAAGATGGTATACGCGCGAATCGTTTGTATATAAAATGTTAAACAAAGCTTTGCGTGTACAAAATATTGATGTATTATTTCTATTTCGATCAATTATTGGTGATATTAAGAAACAATTAGATCAAAATCGATGTCAGTCGTCTGTCCGAGTGTATCGGGGGCAATTGATGACCAAAAATGAGTTAATCAGTCTTGGGAACTCAATTGGTGAGTTCATTTCGATGAATTCGTTTGTATCAACTACTATGGAACGACCAAAAGCACTTCAGTTTATTCAGAAAAATTTTGAGATGTCAGATGATATGGAGCCAGTATTATTCGAAATTGATGCTGATCCCCGAAAAGTTTCATTCAAGCCATTTGCTGATATCAGTACTTTCAGTGAGTACAGCAGCGAAAAGGAAGTGCTCTTTATGCTTGGATCCATCTTCCGATTGAATCAAATATCGCAAGACATTGATGGTCAAATCTCTACTATTCAAATGACGTTATGTAGTGATGATGAACATGAATTAAAAGGACTTTACGACTATATGAAAAACCTATATGGAAATGGCGAAACAAATCTGCGTTCGTTAGGTTTAGTAATGTGGAGAATGGGTAAATTCGATCAGGCTGAAAAATTTTTTCGTCGTCTACTCGATAGTCTATCACCGAAAGATCCTCTACTTAGTGCTTTGTATCAAAATCTTGGCCTCGTTGCCTCGGACAAAGGTGAATATGACGCGAGTCTACAATGGTACCAAAAATCATTGAACATCAAATTACGAACTCGTTCATCCGATTATGTCAACATAGGCATTTCTCACAACAGCATTGGTATGGTTTATTATAGGAAAGGCAATCTTTTCGAAGCACTCCAATCTTTCACTAAAGCGGCAACACTTTTCGAAAAAGCAAAGGACGAAAACCATTTAACCATGGGTTACGTTTACAATGGCATCGGAACTGTTTATCAACAGCAGAAAGATTATTCGAATTCGCTCCTGTTTTATCAGAAATCACTTGCTATTTATCAAATGCATCTACCAAGTGATCATCCAGATTTGGGCTCGTCTTATAATAGTATTGGTGCCGTTCATTATTCTCTTGGTGAAGACGATCTCGCTTTAGAATATTACGATCGATCACTTGAAATTTACTCAAAATCACTTCCACCTCAACATCCAGACATTGCAATAACATATGAAAACATTGGTAATGTTTACAAGAGCAAGGACGATTTAAAACAAGCACTTAGCTATTTTCAACATGCAGCTACTATTCGTCACCATGCATTGTCCTCACAACATCCAATTACAGTAAGGAACGACGAAGTTATTCAGCGTCTGAAAGACAAACTTCAGAAGCGTACGATTCAGTTTTAAAATTATATCATGTACAAGACGTTACGTGTTCAAGTTATTAAGCTATACTATTGCTATGAATGAAGTATACTAAAGATCTATTTATCTTCTTTTTTTTATAGACACGTTGAATTACTATCTATTTTAACCCTTTGATTGTGGATTTTTTCTAGAAACAGAAAGGGTGTTGGATGTGGGTGTAGGTGTGGATGTGGTGGATGTGGGTGTGAGTGTGAGTGTGGGCGTGGATGGGCGTGGACGTAGGTGGGGGTGTAGGGGTACGATAGCTCGGAAAAAGTTCCGAGCTGACGAACCGTTCGACAAACAGAGCTGAGCTGAAAAGGTCGAACTCTGTGGGGTAGCTAAAAGTTCTCATGGGCTATCCTATAGGGGTACCCATAAGTCCTTATGGACTATCCTAGGGGGTACCAATTAGAGGTCGACAAGCTCAGTTTTAGTTCAGCACTGATGAACTGTTCAAAACGCTCACCAACACGAACTGAATTATTCGAACAACTCTTACGAACGAACCGAACTTTTTCAAACAGTTCTTTTCAAATGAATTAAACTGCTTGAACAGTTCTTTTGAACAAATTGAACTTTATGAACAGTTCCCTTCCAATGAACTGAACTCTTTGAACAGTTCTTTTCAAGCAACTGAACCTTTTCAAAGAGTTCCGCTCTGTGAACAGGTTATCAGAAAAACTTACATCCATAGGCTCTCAAGTCCTATTTTATAGGGGGTACTCGTAGGACCTCAGGTCCTATTTAAGAGGGGTACGTTAAGTGCCCCAAGTCCTATTATAGGAGGTACCCTGAGGACGTCAAGTCCTACTATAAGGAGCAACCATCGGTCAACAAGCTCTATAACATAGGAGCAACCATCGTCCTCAACTTCTATAATATAGTGGTACCCATGGATCATCAACTACTACTATATAGGGTACCCTTCGTTCTCCAAGCCCCGTTATAGGAAGATATCTTTAGATCCTCAATCAATATCCTGAAGGCACCATTTCGTCATCAACAACTACTACAGAGAGTTTCCTAGCGTTCTTGGATTCTGCTATAACACTAATTTCCGAGATAATCCGGAAATAGGCAATCTAAAATCTGCTTGTTCAATAAGAAACCAATGAGGTTGGAAGTTTCTATTTGTCAGTGATAGAAGTGACCGATTCCCATACATATACCTCTCATTTGATAAAGCATCCTTGATAACCTTAGGATTGGCCCAAACATGACTAGTGGTTGTCCGAACAATAAGAAAGAAAAGGCCTCCTGAAATCAGATTAGTCGATTTTTTTGACCAAGAGGATTGGGAGTTTCTATTTCTTAGTGATAGAAGCGACCGGTTCCCATACATATACCTCTCATTCGATAGAGCATCCTCGATAACCCTAGAATTGACCCGAACATGACTAGTAGTTGTCCGAACAATAAGAAAGAAATCATAATCATAATGTCCCGTGGGTTTATCACCCGTTGGGGCCAACCGTTGTTTCAATCAATTTTCTCCACCGTTTCTTGTCCTGAGCTAGATGGAACAAGTCCTGAGGGTTACGACTACACCATTCGGTGATATCATCTAGCCATTCTTTGCATGGTCTTCCTCTCTTGGATTTACCATCCATTGTCGCGAATAGTGTATGTTTTAAAAGTCTACTGTCATCCATTCTACATATGTGACCAAACAGTCTGAGTTTCCTTTTCATTATTGTTTCTATAACAACTTCGTGTGCTTTTATTTCCTATCGAATGTCAGTGTTTCTTTTCATATCTTTCCAGCTTATTCTCAGTATTCTTCGGTAGCAGTTCATCTCGAATGCTAGCCGTTTTCTCTTATCTGCTTCTTTTAAAGTCCATGTTTCTGAGGCATATAGCAGTACATTGAACACACGTTTTGAGTATCCTTATCTTGTTTTCTGTTTTCAGTTTTTTGCTGCTCCATACATGTTTGAGATAAGACAGTACTCCGATTGCTTTGCAAATTCTTTTTTTGATATCTTCTGAGCAGCTATTATCCCACGTTATCAAGCTTCCTAGATATTCGAATTTCTCGACATTCTCGACAATTTCGCCTGCAATGTGGGTTGACTTGTCGATGTTTTTATCCCCGAATACCATCGTTTTCGTTTTTCGTGCGTTTACTATTAACCCTGCTTTTTCAGCAGCTTCCTTCATATTCTGGATTTCCTTATGAAGCGATTCACATTCTTCAGTTAGTAGATTTATGTCATCTGCGAATCGCAGGTTGTTTATTATAGTACCACTCACGTTTACTCCATGTGCACGTTCTGTCACTGTGTCCATTATTCTTTCAAAGTAAGCGATGAACAGAAGCGGTGACAGAGGATCACCTTGCCGCGACCCTGCGTTTGCTAGAAACCATGCTCCTATCTCTGTTCCAATTCGAACTGCGGCTTGGGATTTTCCGTAGATATTTTCCAGTAGTTTTATTAGCTTTTGTTCTACACCGTACGATTTCAGGACGCACCACCTAATTTTATGCTTGATCGTATCGAAAGCCTTCTGAAAGTCTATAAAGCAATTATATATCCTTTTGTCTTTTCGTTTTGCCTTTTCGGCTATGAGTCTGAGTATTAGTATTTGGTGGGCAGTACTTATGCCTTTCCTGAAACCGGCCTGTTCTTCAGCAAGGTATGGCTCGAGACAATGCTTTAGTCTGTTTAACAGCACTATGAGTATGATTTTTCCCATATGACTGATTAGATAGATAGTTCTGTAGTTCGAGCATTCAGTCAAATCTCCCTTTTTTGGGTATTGGCACTAGGATTGATTTTGCCCATTCTTCGGATATTTTCCCTTCTCCCCAAGCTCTATTGCAGAGGTCATGCATCTTTTTCACAAGATCTTCACCTCCGGCTTGTAGCATCTCAGCTGTTACTCCGTCAGCACCTGGACTTTTGTGCCTCTTGAGAGAATATATAGTTTTTTCGACTTTTCAGTACAAAATATTTTTAGATTCTTCATTACAAGGAGGAATTATGGATTCTAATTCTTTAATCATTTCATCTCCACCTCCTCGATCTCTGTATAGATCATGGAAGGATTGTGTCCACCTTTGTTTCACGGATTCTTTTGACTGCAATATGCTACCATTTTCATCTCTTACTGCTGTTAATTTTGGTGCATACTTCTTCTTCAGCATTTTTATTGTACTGTATGCGTGTCTGGTCCTGCCGGTTTTCAGACCTTTTTCGATTTCCTCGCACTGGTCTTGTATCCATCTCTCTTTGTCTTGTCTTGCTGATTTTTTGACCTTATTACACAGTGCTTTGTATTTTTGTTGTTTTCTAGAGGGTGTGGAAGTGGTGGATGTGGGTATGGGTGTGAGTGTGGGTGTGGGTGTGGGTGTGGGTGTGGGTGTGGGTGTGGGTGTGGGTGTGGGTGCGGGTGTGGGTGTGGGTATGGGTGTGGGTGTGAGTGTGGGTGTGGGTGTGGGTGTGGGTGTGGGTGTGGGTGTGCGTGTGCGTGTGCGTGTGCGTGTGAGTGGGTGCGGGTGCGGGTGTTGTGTATTGGATCTCGCCCACCCACACCCCACACCCACACCCACAGCCACAGCCACACCCACACCGACACCTACACCCGCACCCGCACCCACACCCACATCCACACCCACACTCACACCCACACCGCATACACCCACAGCCCACACCCACACCCACACGCATACCCACACCCACACCCACACCCACCCACACCCACATCCCACACCCACACCCACACCCACACCCTAAATTCTTCTCTGGAAACCGTTTGTTAGATTCAACTTTTTTAAACTATCCACGTAAACAAAAAAAATGTGCAGAGGTATAGAGACAAATTCAACAGCTTTTTAAATTACTTACTAACTATACATTTCATAAACATTGGAATCAACAATCTTTGAATTACTGTAATTTTGCTGTAAGAACACTAAGTTTTAAACAGCTATAGAAATTTTACATAGCTATAAAGATTAATTTATACAGCTGAACATTTATATAAAACTTATCTCTTTTTGAGAAGCTACAGTTGGTAAGATTCCATTGGGATGAGGAGAGAAGAAAGCATGATCATCTAGCTTAAAACTTAAACTCACTAGTTTTCTTCAAAAAACAACGTGAGTTACAGAAAAGAAAAAAAATGAGTAAAGGATCATATCATGTCAAAATTAATTCATTTTCATTGCTGCACTAAAAGTTATCAAGATGAAAATATTTATTTTATTTTCAATAAATACCTATGTCACAAAAACCGGATCAGTTTTAGCGATAAACCGCGGTTCATCACTAAAACAAGCTGACCAACCGGTAAGGAGTCGGTAAAGCGAGAAAAATCGCCGGTTTACCGTGGTAAACCGGAAAAAAGTAGCGGTTCACCGCAGTTTTTCTATGTCAAGGAACCGGTAACCGGACCGGTAAAACCGCAGTTAATCGCCGGTTTTTGTCCAGCTTTCATCACATGGATACATCATACTCAATGTGTCAAAACATACTCGACAAGTAAGTTTAACATCTTTATATAGGTATATTTTTTCATTAGCTTTATTGTTAGACAACTACTCATGCCATCCCTAGTCTCAATCCTGTTCATTCCTTGAGAAACCCTGAAAGGATCTGTCAGGATCCTGAATCTCAAGGATCCTGCTAAGTTTTATTCAGGATCCTGTCTCGAATCCTAGAAATTTCTGT